TAACCATGCCTGGCTTCAGAGCAAGACTCAGCAAGGATCTGAAAGGACTAAACCACCTGAAACATGTGGTTAGTGCACCACACAGAGCAGTGAGCTGGAGTTGTGTGAGAGCATTCCCGAGATGTTCCCACTGCCCATGCTTGCCTGCAAGAAGGGCAAGGGAAACACTGGGGTTTGCTGGGATTGTGTTGGTCTCACACCTTCCTAGGTGATATATGAGGTAATGTGTGTTGTGCAAGTCTTTCTCTCAGGTTGTTTTTTCTGTTAGTTGATTTGTTTTAATTTTTATTGTTAATTACATCACTGCAAGTATGTGGTTTGTTCTGATGTCCCATAAATACGAAGGTTTTTACTGCTGAGAGATGCTGGCACTATTTGTGAGAAGACATCCAGAGCCAGTATTTAACCCAGTACCTGAGCAGATCATGACCTGACATTTTTATGCACTCAGTTTGGAAACACTGCATAACAGTATCAAAGACAAGAAAGATGTAGCTGTGTTTTCATTTTAAATCTGGGATCTTGTGCCAGGTGTTAGGAAAACATTCAGAATTCCACCATGTCAAAACAAAAAGATTTTTCCCAGCCTCAGTGGAGTTTTGATTGTGTCTCTCACTGAAGGCAGGGTTGGTCCTTTCAACAGAAGCACAGGTAGCCCTCTGCTTACACACACAGTTACCCACAGGAGAGATTTCTAATCCAAAAGGTTGGAAGTGACTCCAAAGGCAGCAGCAATTTCTCAGGCTCTGGGAGCAAACCACAAAACCTCAAAAGCCTGCCAGAGGAAAAAACACAAGGGCTGACCAAAGCCTGAGGATCTGGCAAGCAAAACTTCAGATTTATTTTTTTCTTTTCAAAGTTTCTTTTGAAAAAGTGTGAATATTCTCAGCATCTTTGCAACCTGTTCTAGCATAAGAATCTGTTCCTACTGCTCCTAATTTCCATATTTGGAGTGTCCTTCTTTCACTATTTAGAACATTTCAGGTTTACAGCTAATTGTGGGTAAAAAAACCCTTTGGTAGATTAAACAATATGAGATATGCCCTCACTTCCTGGCTCTTTTGAGGACAGTAGCCCACAGCCAGGCAGGCTGTCTTACTTCTCACTGAATGGTTCTACATGGTGGGGTGATGCACGGCAGCAAATGATCTCCAGTGTCATTGGCAAAAAGTGGGACTGATGATATTGGGTCACTTCCCACAGGAAGGGCCTACAATGAAGAACATGGTGTTTATCTGACATGAATGGTTGGGAGATTATGTAATTGAAAATGCATGCACCACCGCACTAACACATGCAATATCCGAAGTGGTCCCTGTTTAGCATCTGCATTTCTGATGTTCTATCTGAGTTAACTTGAGCTGTTCCAGGGAAACATTCTGAGTGTTGATGAGCAGAGATAGCGCCACACGTGGATATAAAGGCATTGTTAAGACAAGCTTTATATGGGATGTTCTGCCAAATGGTTCCCTTCCCTTCCTCTTCTCATTTCCTTGTTCTCCTTTAGCCACTGGAGAATGGTAATCCCTTTATTCGCTTATGCGTAAACTGGTGACTTTCCAGACCTGCCACAAAAGACATTGGACTAGATGACTTCTCTGGAAAGATGCAGCAGAAGGAGATGGAAATGTCTTTCCTGAGGCTTTTAATACTTCTATGTTTGTACTGACAGTCAGAATACAGAGAATTTTGCACTGACAGCTGCAAATAAAAAGGAAAATACTACAGCTAGTTTCATTCTTCCCTCTTACATAAACATTTTTTCAATATCTGTTTTTGACCTTTAGAAACAACTCATACACAATGTCTTGCTCATCCCAAGCAGCAAGCTTTGACATTTTGTTCTTAAGACACAAAAGAGCAGGCACACAACTATATCTGAATGGAGAAAGCATGGAAACACCTATGGAGAGCAAAGTCATTGCTAGTTCAAAAAAATTCTCAGAATTAACTATGAAAATGAAAATCTAGGCATTAGAATCCTGAGTCAGGATTTCCTCATCTTGCAGGTACACTGGCTAAAATCCTTTTTCTTCATTCTTTCCTTCTAGCCAGGAATGTCTCTTTCTGTCTGTCTATCCACTGGTTCACTGCTGGGCAGTCTATCCCTGCAGCCCATTCCAGAGACTGCTGGCAGGGTGAGCAGGGGTCATCACCTTTTCTGATGTGGTTAGGCACTGCAGAGCAAGGGTAAAGGGGCCCAGGGATGGCTCTAAAGATGGCTCTAAATGCTCGTAGGATACACCTGGATTCTTGTCCCTCCACTAAAAACTATTTCTCTGCTTTACCTAAGAACCCTTTTAGTGTGACTGACACAGAAGATGAGCAGTGTCCCTATAACACCCAATTTCAAAGTATTCCAAGCTGCAGATTGGGTTCTTCCATCTTCCATTGATTCCCTTCCCTTCCCTCTCCAATTCTTCTTTCGTACCTCCCTCCATTCACCCATTTTCCATGGCACAGCTTCCCTCTGCCTTCACAAGGAATGAAGCTCTGCTTTTTCCAAAGAGCAGTCATCTTTCACCAAGGAAGACTGTTGAAAGCAGAGATCCCTAGGTCAACTGGGAACTGCTCTAATTACCCCTAATATGATCCCCCATGTGCATGTCACGACAATTCTCCTTAATTCCAGCAAACCCTCTCCACTGCCTGCATGGAGCCTTGCTGTAAATGACAGAGCAAACCCTTCTGGTGACAACCACTCCTGAGCTCAGCTGCACTCATAGCACATGGTTGAAAGTGATTTTTCACTGTTAATTCCTTAAGCAATAGTGGTGGCAAGAGCCTGGTGCTTTCCTCCTGCACCCACAGAGTCAGAACAACTCCGTTTTGATAATATATGGAGCAGAAGCATAATTCTGACACCTGCCAAAAAAAAAAAAAAAAAGAAAAGGAAACAAGGCCTTCAAAGTAAGGACAGTTCTTGGACTGTTCTTAAAAGAGCCTGGAACTCAAAAACCACGAACTGTGAAAAGCTACAGCTTTTATGATGTGGGATACTTTGTTCCACGCAGCGATTCCTTGGTGTCTTAATACATGAGTTTTGCATTTCCCAAAATGATATGGGGGAGAGCAGTGCAGAAATCACACATTCCTTTTTTTTTTTCCTAGTGTCTCATTCCATCTTTTCAGCCCAGAATTCAAGGATAAGCTCTGGCCTTCACATAAAAGGTATACAGCAGATGGTTTCATCAAGAGGAAAGTAGGTGACTTCAGATTCAGTTTGAGAATTTTATTAAAACCATAGGTTTCTGTTCTATACAAAACTGAGGAGATTTCAAAAAAAGATTGTATTAATGACATTGGAAACAGTGCAATGTAAGTGGCTTGTTGATAAAAATCTCTGAAAGCTATGTACAGGATTAATACTACACAACTGTATTAATGTAGAGACTGTCAGCAACTTTAGCAATATATACAAACTACCTTTACACTCATAAATATCTTATTTACAGCTAATAAATAACATTCAAAGCTAAATCTTGTTTCCTTACGAAAAGAACCCTCACTATTTTGTATCCAAATTCTAAATGTGTTTGTATTTGATCCTGTATTAAGAGCTGTCCAGATACTTTGCTTCTGAAGACTAACTTTTAAGAGAAAATTGCAACAAAATGTGGAATCTATAGGGAATAAATCACTGTATTTATTTTTAGAGGTCTCAAATGCAGTGGTTCAGTACTCAACCCCACCCTCAGTGACTCATCACATCTCTGCTGTAGTTTAATCAAATGTGAAACCAAATGTGAGCAAATTCAGAGCTATTAATATTCCAACATATTGCACTGTTTAAGACTTTTATCCCCAAATATATTAGCAGCTACAGTTGGAAATAAGAAACAAATTGTGCACATAAACACGTACACTTTTTTCTTTGCTTTTAAGATGGGATGATATTGGAGAAATCACCATCTCCATGCTGTCTTGCACATGCAGAAAAAGACTACAACACCCAGCATCAACAGCTAACACTACACTTCTCCAAATGTCTACCTTCAAGCCCTTGTACCTCCCCCGCATTTTGTTTACTCTCTAGAAAGTTAAAGGAGGGCTATTGCACCTTATGTGCTACTTAAAAATGGGGAAGCAGACTGCCTTCAATACTCCTATATTTTTAAACTTGCAGCATGGCTAATTTGAGTGTTTTTCAGAGTACTTCTTGTAGAGCACACAACCAGGCTGCTTTTAATTGGCTCAGCTCCTGCTTCCTGCTGAATTCCATCTCATGGCAGAAAACTAAGCAGCTCCTAGCACTGTACCACAGCCAAGAAACAAACTGAGATGGATCACTGGCAGTCACAGCTCCAGTACAGGGAAGTATGAGCATCCTTGTCAGCTATCAAGTGGGTTCACTTGCACTGAGGGCTGTATACAGCAGCCACGCAGCTGCATGACTGACACTTGGTGTCAAGGAGCAGAGAAAACTGTGACAGTTTTGGCAAACATGACGCAAGCAAGCAGGGAGAGGGTGGAGGGTGGGGGGAGATATCTGTTTCCTGCATTTTCTGGTCGCTCAGTTCCTCTGCAGTTCCATTTTCACAGTGTTGAAGGCTAGACAGTTGCATTTGCAATAACTGAAAGTATAGATAAAATTTTAAATGTCTGCATAAGACACTGGCATTGCTGCCTTCTCCTAGAGCTATTTATTCCAGGGTAAGTGGCATAGAAGTATATAGCTTAACAGATCATACCTATTGCTAAACAGCACTGGCATCTACCCCCAATTAAATACATTCATAAACACAAACTAAAAATTCATCCCCATATTAAGTCCGTCCCTGACATGTTCTAGTATTACACACAGCAGAGGTGTTTTTCTTTTTTCACATGGGAAACCTACTTATTTGATAAAAACACACTTGAAAAACAATGAACTCTCTCCACTGAACTGCCTGAAAATTCAATTAGCCAAGACACAAAAAA